TTCCCAAAATTATCAGTTTTATTCTGTGATAATGCTGGTTTGAAGTAAAATAAAAGCACCTCTAACTCTCCTCAAAATGGATTTTTTTTCAGACTTAACAGCACTTCTAATAGTATAATGGCTCTGTCTATGGTTAGACTCAGTGTAATTGTATTCCCTTATCTATTAGAAACACTGGCTGTGGCTAGCAGCATTTCACTTTCTGGAAGAGGAAATACAGAATTAAAGTCTCAAACTAGTTTCCCAAGAAGCACTTGCACACCATCATTTTCAGATCTTTTAGTCTGTGGCAAGATGGTAGCCAGAAAAGAATGAGAAGGCAGATGGAATTTAAAGCCTTAACAAAACTAACAAATCATCCATTTACCTGTAAAAGCCTCAAGTTTATCTTTCTTTATGGCTGAGTAGTATTCCATTGTATAAAAACACTACATCTTTTTTATCCACTCCTTGACGATGGACATTTGGGTTGTTTCCAAGATTTAACTGTTACAAATTGTGCTGCTATAAATATGGGTGCACATATATCACTGTTGATGATATTTTTAGTTCTTCTGGAAAAAAGAGCCAGAAAGGGAATAGCTGGGTTGAATGGGATCTCTAATCCTAGTTTTTTGAGGAATCTCCACATTGATTTCTACTAGAGAGCATACTCATGAGTGAAATAAATCAGACTCTTGTGTGCAAACTTCATATTGTCTGTCTAGTGTAAGAAACTGAAAGAGTAAATAAGATCCAAAAGGTACAGTGGATATTATGAAAGGGAAAGAAGCTGCTCAGAAGGAAAGAACAACTGGGATGGGTGAAGGAGAGAAGAAGGAAGGGAATTTTTTTTAAAACTCTGTACTTATCATATATATTATATATATATACATACACACATGCATGATAGCTAAGATAAATGTACTACTAATTTTTATTAGTTCATTGAAAGGAACAGTTAGTGCTTATATTGTTTGATCAGTTTTTCATGCCTTTATCTTGTAATCTGAGTAACCACTTTGAAGATAATATGCAATATAACAACTATTGTTAATTTCCTATCAAAAAAAAAAAGACTAACAAATCAGATGCACCTGTACATATGCCTCAAATGATCCTTCTCTGTGGCGAGTGCTTTGCAGTGGTTCCAATCTTCTGGGCCTTCTGAGAATGTGCATAGTTAAGGTAATGAATAATGGTTGAGATGTTAAATCGAAAATCAGTGGACAATTGGCTTTGATCACAGTCTTGTCTCTTCCGGGTGGGCACGATATTTGTATTTACTATCCATGATCTTTGCGGAGAATGAATCTAGCTCTAGCTCTTTTATTATTACTGCATTTTTATTATATGTGTTTGCAATACGTAGTGATTTTGCTCTCTTCTGCCTTTTATTTATACTTTGCGTTTCTCATATCGGAGAAACCATGCAAGCTCCTGAGTGAGAACTGGGGGGTGACTGAAAGAGAAGCACGTGGCAGTTGAGGTTACTGAGATGAGCACAGCTTAGAGTCACCTGGGATGCACACAGCAGTGACGGTGTAAAAAGGAGAGGACACTCCGTACTGCTTTACTTGATGTATAAGCTGGCTCTCACTTTGTAACTTGCTCTCGATTTAAATACTTAAAGGTTTAAGTATCTTTAACTTCCCAAAGGTGGTGCACAAAAGTTTGAGCTGCTGTCAGAGAATGGGGGGAACAGATTCCTCCGTTGGAGAATGGAAAGCCTAGGCTTTAATAAAACATTAAAGTTCTGCCTCTGCTGCTGTGAGAAGACACTGGGAATGGAGCAACAGATTATAGTTACTAATGGTCAAACCGAACTTGCTACCTTTCCCTGTTAATTAACTCACACTGTGACTGCCAGGAAGCACCATTTCATGTTGCCGTGATGGTGGTTGTGGTACAGGAGGCGCTGAGAGTGGCTGTAAACATCTCACAGCAGAGAATTCTTCCTTGTCTCTGTGAGATGGAGGTCGAGTACTGGGCCGTGCAGAGCCGTCCACTGAGGCTTTGAATCCTCCCTCCTCACTTCCTAATTCTGTGAGTTTAGGTAAGTGCTTAGTTTCTGTAACCCTCACTCCATTAATCTGTAAAATAGGTCTAATGCTACCTCCTTAGGTATTTAGTTCAATGCTCCATAAACATTCAGTACCTAATAAATGGAATCAATTGTCATGAATGGACAAATGTGCGTAGCTTAGTAGTTTAGCCCACTAAGCACTCCAAGGATTAAATTTCCTCAGGGAAGTAGGAAATCCCCTCCAGATAGCTCTGCTACAACCTCAGCCCCTTTTATTCTCTCTTTTGAGGCAGGCTCTCACTGTGTTGCCAGGCGGGACTTGAACTTTCAGATACTCCTGCCTGTCTCCCAAGTACTTAGTGCACCACTGCAGGTGGTGTCCTCAGACTGCATAACTGGGAACAGTTGCCCTGCCCTGCCTTGCACTCTTTTCCCATGTATAGAGACCATGCTGTTTATTTAAATACAAGTTATTTATTAGTCTGACTCAGAAGAAATTTTATTACACTGATTGTCACACACTTATGAATCATTTGTTAAAACTAGCAGTTTCTCCTAAATGTAATAAGGCCAAAATTAATTTCTAAACTTTAGATCCCTTTAAAATTTGAGCAATCACTCCTGGTTATAGACTATTATGGCCTGGAAAGTTGAAGCCTATATCCTCAGTGCAGAGGAAATGTCAAGGACATGTCAATATTTGATTCTATTATATATCAGCCATGCCAGAGACCGTGGGGTCATAACTAATGTAAACAGCTCACTTTGAGTCCACAAGTGAAGCCAACGGAAGATGCAAATTGATCCTTATTTGTTCTAATACTAAAATTTTACAGGGCTTTTTGAACTATTTCATAAATCACTTTCAAAATGAATGAAGCGGTAACATTGAACTTCAGCTAACTGTATTTAAATTAAATATAAGCATTTAAAATAACCATTTTAATTAAATACAAGGCCCAGGCAACTAATCATCAAAAGTGGAATTGGTAACTTAAGATTTATCATTCTGAAACAATTTATACCACATTGCTAATGAGTTCTTCGCCCTACTTAAAGGCTAAATGCTTTTCTCCAGTGTGGCAGCTGGTGGGAGAGAACCATTTCTTGTGCTGTGGTTGCCAGTTTGATATTGAATCAGAGCAAAACAAAGTCTGTTTTCCACAGTCTTTTAGAAGCAAGCCTGAATACACTATCTGCTTATCCACATCCACATTAGCATATTTTAGTTCTAAAAACAAATAATAAAAACCTCAGTAACTGAAATACCATTTGGTATTGCAAGTAAAAATGGGTACATTTTGTAAAATAGTTAAGTATTTTTAAGTATAACTACTATTTAGCATAAAGCCTGACAGTGTTTTCACGTTAGGTGAATACGTGCTTTGATTAAAATTTTATGAAATCTGTCTTAGAGCGTTTCTTTCTCACGGTTTGCTGCTGCAGCTCACCTTCTACTTTCAGTTGCTCATTAGAACAGCTGAAAAGCAGAAGAGCATCTACTCAGGGCTTTGAGGCCCCGTGTGATTGTTCTGATCTTTCCTGTGTTGTGGCATTAGCAACGCAGCTCAGATTTTGAAAGAGAGCGGTTCCTCTGCCAGCCTAGGGGAGTGGAGGGTTTAGAAGCAGGTTCGCTTGTTTTGTTACTTGAGCTAAATACCTGCAATTACTGGTTGTCACCGTTTTCATCTGTTGTAAAAACAGAACTAATTGGAGGCGCTACCCTTCAGGGTGAGCGCTAGCACATAATGAACGTTGAGTGCCCTCTTGAGTTTAGCATTTTAATTATTCATAATTATCATGATTTCTGTTTATTTGGGGTCTTTGCAAACAATTGTAGTTTATCACAGAAACTGAGAAGCAGAGTAGCTGGGGCTTTGTTTTGTTTTGTATTAAGGCCATGGGCCTGTGACTATGCCAAGTTCTCATAAGCAAAGAGGCTGGTTTTCTAGCTAATATGTGGGCACAGTGGCAGGTATGGTGTCCTGAAATGACTAGATGCACTTTTTTCTTTTCTAGAATCGTACCAATATTAGGGCTGTGGGTAAAGAAATGACAGGGACTCAAATGGAAGGATTATAAATAATTTATGAAAATATGTTCATCAGAGAACAGATGTATTAGTTTGTACCAGCCAAGCATACAATTTTTTAGACCTTTTCCATTTCTTGAAAGAGTTTGTATATATAAAAGTGTGTGTGTGTGTGTGTGTGTGTGTGTGTGTGTGTTTGCTTTGCACCCCAAATATATTTACATCCAACAGACTCATTTTACTGGATTTTTAGGCCATTTGTGTTTGTTTTTATTGAACATATATTAATGACAATGACATATTTGGTTTTACAATCTAATTAAATGTCATATACACTCTTCATAGCAGTCTGAAACAGTAATTTAGTAGTATTTTTAAAAAGACTTCAGCATTGTGATATTTTTTCATTTTTCCCATATCTTCCTTGTTTTCCATCCTTATAACACAGCAGTTGCATTTTAGATTCAAGTGCGTGCTCTTCAACTAGAGAGTTAACCAGGCCTCCTGGTAGTATGTGTTCAATTTAGGAAGAAACAGCAATTGCTTAGTATGTTCAAGTGGTATCTGAGATAACAATGATTAGTAGTGATATTCATGTGTGTCTGTGAAAAGATCTGGAGATACACAAAAGGCACTTTTAAAGAAAGTGTATTTATTTAACCACTACCACCTGAAAACCTCAACAGCCAGAAAAGAAATAAATTTCTGCTATAGGAACAATATGCAAGTACCTGTGTCCACTCACAACTTCCAAACCCATCCCTGGTCAGGGAGTTAGCACTTCCATGTCCTGAGGCTACGTTCCAATGTTATTTCTGGTCTCCCTCCACAAATGACTTCAGGCAAGGCCTAGTTGTACCATGAAAGCAAACCCACAATGTGCTTTTTCCATATTAGGTGTTTAAATGCTACTGCTATGGAGAAGAAAAATGAAAAAACTAACTGAAATTGCTTTGCTTCCAGGTCCACCCCAGGGGCTGCTCAGCAAGAAACAAGCCAAAAGGACAGCCCAGAGGTGAGGAGAGGCCATGGAATGTCCACTGAGGGATACTCATCCCCGGGATAACTGAGAAGTGTCTGAATGTAGGTATGTGTGCAGGGCGCCAGTGTGCCTGTGCATTTACTGTCTAACTATCCTTCACATCTTTCCCTCACATTCTTCTGCCTTGGAGCTGGACAATCATGGACAAAAAATGTGAGCCTCCTAATCCTCTTCTCCTTCTGTACATTGTGTGTGTCAGGTGTTGTGCCCGGCAGAGGGAAAGCAAGTCCTTTAGTTCTGTTCACCCTCCCAGGCCGAACTCAAGTTTCACCTCCACTACAGACTCTTGCTGATTTCCCCTTCTTCGAAACTTCTCTAGAACTTGTGGTTATTCCTTTTTTCTGGCATTTGCCACAGTCTGTTGCTTTTTATCTATGTGTATATAGTCCTGTGTTCTCAGCGTAGCAGCTATGTACTTCTGGAAAAGGCAGGGTCTAGTATATATCATGGTTTGCACATCAGATCTATGTGTGTATCACAGTCCAGGGAGGGGACAGGCCTGTAACAAGCAGCTGTGATGGATGGAGGCAACACAGGTGAGGGGTTAAGAGCATGTGTTCTGGAGCCACACTGCTTGAGTCTAAATTCTCACTCAGTCTTTACCTGGGTAGCCTTGTTGAGGGTGTTTGTTAAAACGCTCTGTACCGTAATTCCTGTTCTCCAAAAGGAAGATAACTTACTATTCACTTCAATGAGCTGTTGTGGAGGCTAAGTAAGTTAATAGATTTAAAAGAGCTTAGAGTCCAGTACATACTAGACACTAAAAATTGTTATAGGAATACTCCATCTCAGCTTTGTTAATCTAGCCTAGAAAACAAATGGCATGATCCTCATTCTCTAAACAGGAATAGTGTTTCCCTAAGGGGTCGGATCACTGCCTGAAAACATGAAAAGAGGCAGAATCAGGATCGAAATGTCTGACCAGAAGCCTAGGTTGTATCCATCTGAACACTGGCTCAAACACAGATACCCAGTGATGAATTCTCACTAATAGTGATGAGTTGTTTTCACTTCTACTCATATAGTTTTGAATTAAATAATGCTGAGATTTACTAGGTTTCACCTTTCAAAAAATATTTTGAATGTAAAATCATTTAAGGAGATTTAAATACCTTTCTGGTAGTTTAATTCTAATGAGATGGAGTCATAGCCTTTATCTATTTTTATTTATTGTTGGGACTCAGAGTTTAAAATTCTGTCCTGTTTTACTGAAGGAGAAGAAGGGGGGTGTTGTCAGTGGCTATTCTACCCTGGGACATTTTACAACCTAGGAGTCACCGAAATGGAGACACAGCAGGAGCACACAGCCTGCTTACCCTGCTCACCCCAGGTCCACTGTGAGATGGGCCTCCATGCTCCCTGTTACACAGCAGGGCTATGTTATTGCCTACAAAACTAGCAACTTTAAGATTTGGTGAATTATGTCATTTAATAGTAAATTATAAAATTGATATGGAGTTGGTTTTTAATCATTGTATCCTATTTGAAATTATTTTGGAGAGTTCACAAAGTATCCTGTGAAATGTGGCAAACTAGCAGTCTTGTTCTCAGCAAGGGAGTCAGCAGCAAGTTGTATTCTCATCACTTGCTAGGATCCTTGAGTGCTGCTGCTTCTTGCACACCCGTAGCATGCAGCACTGCAATGGACATGGCAGAAGTAGCTGGGGAATAAAACTGTGCAGCTCTACTAATATACGGAGTACATTGTGTCTCTTAGCCCCGCACTGAGTTGCAGAGTGACTTCCCAGACCCTCAGCAGACCTGGTGGAAGCATCACTGGGCATGGAAATGGGAAAAGTCAACTTTGCTGAGCACTTGACCTTATTCTAGGTTTTAATACATTACGTCACTTAATCATCAGCATAAACCTACGAAGTAGGCATTGTTACCTCCATTTACCACATTGTTACCTCCATTTACCAGTAAAGAGGCTAAAATTCAGACAAAGCAAATGATGTAACAGTCTTAGGGTGCAGTGAGCCCTGCACTCAGAGTTGCGAGGTGCGTACCGTGGTCTGGCTCTAACGCCAAGGGATTCCAGGCATGTCACAATACCTCTTCATGTTCCAGCTTCCTCATCTTAAATAGCGTTATGAAGACCAATATAGTTTATGGGTAAAATGGCTTTGAAATGATCAAAGATATTACAAACATAGAAATCATAGTGGGAAGTCTGTAAGTGTAAACCCTCACACAGTTCTCAACTGCTTTGGAAACCCCAGCCAGCAATGGGGATAGGATGGAAGCAATAAAAAGAAGCAAAGCCCAAAAAAATGGAAGCACGATGCCTGCGTAAAACTTTTGGGAGCAAGTCTAGAAAAGCTTCTCCTGATGGTCTGATACCAGTGCTGATTCAGTGTTGTCCAATTTTCAGTCACCAAGTGGAGGAGCCCCTTAAATATAATATTGTTTGTTTTAAAATTAAACTATAGTGGTCATAATCACTGAACCAAGAACCGGATATAGAGCATAACATTGGAAACTGGGACTGTTGCATATGGAGCCACATGTCTGGTGTGAAATGGTTGCCTGACAAGCACAGAGCATAGAACTTACGTCACACCTAAGTAAATTCACGGGTTTTGTATCACATGTGTACTTCCTGCCCCGAGTCCCTGAAACACCTTGGGAGCCTCAGTGGGACCCAATGCTGCTTTTTGGTCAGATCTTTCCAGCTGTCTTTCAGAAGGATTAAAGGCACTGCAATTTGTGGCTGATGTCTGGTTTTGACCTTGTAGATATGGAAGGGAAATAAGTGTATTTGACGAGTTATTAAACACATGCTTCAGTTATTATGATAGTAAAAACAGTTCAGTCTTATAAAACTGTAAGGTGCTCTCTGATTCTTAGCACTTAATTGCATTCCTACTGAGTTTAGATAATACATCCCTAATCTCAGTGTGTGACATAGTGTGATTATTTAGATTTAAGAAAGTTACCCATGTTTGTTTCTACTTCTGTTTGATATGAGAAGTTTCAGGTACTACCTACTAGATGCTTTTTTAAGCTACATTTTACCTTGAACAAGAACAGGTTACTTAACTGGTATTTTAAATGGTATTCTAAGACTCAGAGAGAAATTAACAAACCACTTTTACGTGTTCTTTGTCAAAGGCTACCCATAGGAGGCCTCTGCCTCCAAGATCTACTGCTGAGATGGAGAAGCTATGACCAACTATTCAATTTCATCAGCCAATTTCAACTGTCAAGTATTTCTAAAAATATAGGCCTATGACAACAACATATTTGCTTTTTTCATAATGACCACCTTAGCATTTGCAGTTTATCATTATTTTTAATTAAGCATTTGAAGGTGAAATGGGATGCAAGGATAATGATTTAAAGGATCAACAACAAACAACTAAGTTGGGGTACATTTCAGGGAGAATATTCTTCAGTAACAAAGGTATTTTGTGAACTATGAGTCACTATGCAAATAATATCTACAGAAATGTTTCTTCAAAGTAATGAAACACTCAGTGAAACACTTTCTTTTCTCTTACTTAAAAGTTTTCATGACCCTGTGTTCTTCTGCACATACCGGATGATATCCACACTCAGTGATGGTAATACCTGCCGTTCATAAAGTGCTACTCTATACCAGACATTTTTAAATGGATTATTGTTAGTCTTCAGAGGATTCCTGCAAGGAGATTTTGTTATATTATATATCTGAGAAAGCTGAGGCTCAGATAGGTTAATGAACAGACTGGCAAATTAGTAAGTGGTAGAGCCCCAAATAAAATCCAGATTCATTTAGGCCCCAGTCCTCATGCTCTATAACTTTGGGGGAGGCCAGGTGATAATAAATGAAAAAGAAGCACTCTCAAAGTAAAAACAGTAATAGTAGCTTCCATTCATTAATGTGCCAGGTGCTGAGCCAGATGCCCTAAAGATGATATAAATTCATCATCCTAATAAACAGCTCCAAAGAGTTCATTCAGTGTACGCTTTTCAGATGAATTGCATTGTAACACTATTCCCTTTTGCCTTAGGAGGAATTTAAGATTCAAAGACATCAAGTTATGGATGCACAGTAGCACACCTGGTACGGAGCAGAGCGGAGTTGGCCAACTTGGGTCTTGTTGAGTTCCAAAATCTATGTTCTTTCTATTTTTGAATAATAGACATAATACATACATAATACTTATCCTTTTTCTCTTCAGTTATTCTTAGAGTGACTTGCTTTATTCAGAAATTAAGGAGCTTTATGATAGTAAGGAACTTTTAGAAAGTTAGCTTTAGTTCACTTAATATGTAGTTGCATGTGTCCTACCACTGCTCAGGTGTGCCTCCAGGTCAGATTTTACCCCTAAACTCAGTAAGCTGAGCTTGCTTTTCAGTCTAGATCAAAAGTTCACTAAGAACAAAATAATGCAAAGAAATTTATTAAACTCAGGAAAACTGCCACACATACATGAATGACTGTTTTGAAATACCACAAGTTACCACTGCAACTGAATAGCTGTCGTCCCAGTCTTACAGCAGCCTAGACCAGCCCTTCGCACTCATTCACTGAACAAGTATCTATTGATTGCCAGCTATTTCCGTACCTCCATGCAAGCGCCATTGGCGCACAATTAAAACTGGAAAATCCTTACCCTGTAAGAGCATCACAGGTTAATTAGAGAGAAAAAACAAAATAAACATTAAGCAACCAAAAGTATATAATATTGCAATAAATTCTGTATAATACCAAACAAATGCATACATATAAAAAGAGTGCTTCATTTTCCTGGCTATCAGTGCTATGAGTTGAAATGATTGCAAAAGGCCTCACAGAAGAAAAACAACTCCAAGGTAGGCAGAGAGGGTGAAGGGCATTGGCCAGGCAAGCTCTTGTAGTGGAGGTTGGGAGGCAACAAATATATTTATTGTCCTGATGACTTGTATAGTGGCCCTGGAGAAGACAGACTGAAGAGTGAGGCCAGACAACCAAAGTCTGATTCCTGCTAAGGATTCTGGCCTTTGGCCTCCAAGTGATGGGGAGCCATTGAAAAATTTGGAGCAGGAAAGTGGCATAATTAAAATAGTGCTTTAAAAAA